GAGGCAAGGACACCGGCAGAGGGAGAAGCAGGCTCCACACAGTGAGCCTGACGTGGGACTCCATCCCAGGTCTCCAGGATCATGCCCTGGGCTGAAGGCGGTGCTAAACTGCTGAGACACCCTGGCTGCCCAGTTAAGTTTATTCCTGAGTATTTTATTCTTTTTCAATTATAAATGGTACTTTTTTCTTAATTTCTTTTTCTGATACCTTGTTGATAATAGATAGAAATGCCTAGAAACTAGATAGTAGATAGATATCTAGATAGTAGATAGAAAACAGATTTTTGAATATTGATTTTGTATCTTGTAACTTTAATGAATTCCTTTATTATAATAGTGTTCTGGTGATATTTAGCGTTTTCTATATATAATATGTTGTTGCCTCCATATATAATATCATGTCATCTGCAAATAGAGACAAATTCACTTCTTTTTACTTTGGATGCTTTTATCTTTTGTTGTTGTTGCTTTACCTTGTAATTCTTCTGACTTGGACTTCTAATACTATGTTGAATAAAAGTCATAAGAGTAGACATCTTTGTCTTATTTTTTATCTTAGAGGAAAAGCTTTCAGTTTTTCAAGAAACCACTCATTTTTTCTTTTCTTTCTTTTTTTTTTCTTTTTTTTTTTTTAAGAAACCACTCATTTTTAATGACAAAATACTCGGATAAAATTCAGTAAAACAGTGGTACCCAGCATCCTCTCATTTGCTGTTTGAAAACTGTCTTAAGTGTCACCTTCCTTGCCCTGTCCGCTTTCCAAGAGCTCAACATCTTCCTGTGTCCCTTGCTTGCTCAGAACTTCTAGCCAAGGCTCACGCAAGCCCCTCTTGCTCTCATCTACTTATCCTCAGACCCAGGCTTCTGTCCACCATAGCTCCTGCTAGTTGTCCAGATTCCTCTCAATCTGAAGGCTAAAATTGAGCCTAAAGCATAAGGCTTTTAGCAGTTTCAGCATCTTTCCCCACCTCTCCATCCTGACTCCACTGCTAATCATACCTAAAATATGATGCCTGATGCTAACCACTGGGCTTTTACAATATGTCCCATGTTGAAGCCTCCATCTGATACATTTTGATATTAGGGCCCAGCTCCTAATCTCTGGAAGTTTCAGACAATACATTTATTCCTTCAGGTAATAGGACTTGCTCATTTTTTTCCAAGTTCTCTCTTGTCAAATACCTAGCATGCTCATTCTGTTACAGAAATAGGCTCAACCATGCCATGACCACAGTTCTCAGGGTCCAGCTGATGCCTAGTTTCTGATATCTGTGGATGGCTTTTTAGATCTTTAGAGCTTTCTCAGCATTATCCAAGCAAATCCACCATTACTGTGTCCGTTTACCATAGGGTTTTTGTGACCACCTATTTTCAAAGTGCTGTAATCAGCCCCTATCACAGAGAATTTCTTTGTTCCTACCACCCCCTGTAAGTGTGAGTCCTTGGTCTGTGCTTCGTCTTATTAGACATTAAGTGGGCAAAATCTGTGTAGTCTAAGAAATGACAACTTCACAGTTTTACCTCACTGACTTCCCATTCAAGAGTGGATGACTGAGAACATCTTGGCTCAGTGCCCCCTTTCACAACTGATTTATTACCCTAGGAATGCAGTTTTAATGGCAGTCCCATTGAGGAGGATTAGATGAGGATTTGAGGATTTTCACCACTTCTTGAATCATTCCACACAAAGCTCATTTCACCAACAGGTAAAATAGTTTATTTCTGCCTAATTTATGTCAGGTTAAGAAGGAAGGGAACTCAAAGACCCTTTCAGAGGAAAATTAAGAAATGAACAAGGTGGAGTAGAAAGCTTTTTAATGGGTGCCAGAAGCAACCTTTCTGTTTGGGCCTCAAAAATTGTCATTATCCCTGGGTTTAAAATCTGGTAGATATTCACCATGAGCCAACTTGAGAGTTGTGAGGCTCAGTGAAATGCCTTTGTCTTATCAAAAACAAACAAAAAACCAACAACAAAAACCCTGCATGTACATTTTCTTGGAAGTTGCATTTACACTTTTAATCATTACAGAAACAAAAGAAATAATTTAGAGTTGAATCAAGCTGAGGTTATATATTTCCAAAATAAAGGTACCTGGATGTCTCAGTTGGTTAAACATTCGGCTCAGGTCCTAATCTCAGGGTCATGAGACTGAGCCCCACATGGGGCTCCTTGCTCAGTTTAAAGCCTATTTAAGATTATCTTCCTTCCTCTCTCCCTCCCCATGAGCTTGCACACATGCATATGCGTGCATGCACTCTCTCTCTCTAAAAAAAAAAAAAAAAAAGTATTCCCAAAATATAGGAATATTTTTTCTGTTCGTAATGTCATAATTGGTAAATCTCCCTTTTAAATTGACTATGCTAGCCCAGCTGGTCTCAATGTTTGCAGACCCAAAATCTCACTTTTTATTGCAAATATTTGGTAACACTTTTACCATTCTAAAACAAAATTTATAGATAATATAACCCTCCTATAGTATTATATATATAATTTCTAACTAACATAAATCAAAAATGAAAGAGAAAGTTACTTATAATAAAATAATATATATTTCAATGTGTAAATACTCAGACATGATCACAAAAGGAGACAAATCAGGTGGTCTGATGTTGTCACCTATATTTAGTATCCACCTGAATACAACAGCTACAAATATTGTTTACAGATGTGTTATGTTACATTTGAATGCTACAGATGGTGTTGACATTAATAATACACTTTTCTTAGTAAAGTTAGTAAAGTTCTGAGGAAAACAGGATAAAATCTTTCCTCAGTATCCATAGCAGCTACATTTCTGGAAAATTCAGAAAATTAAAACCATACCAAAAAATACTGTGTGTTTATAAAAACTGAATAAAACCTGACAATTATTATGAGCATACGTTTCACTTCATAAACGTCTGGAAGAACATTCAAATACACAGCAAGACCTGATAATTATTTACTATGCAGAGTTGTGTGCAAGGCGAGATGTCTAGTCTCTGGCCCCAGCCACAAAATGCCAGTAGTATACTCTTATAATTTTGATATCCAAAAATGGCCTGACAGGCCAGTGATGCCCCCACTCCTGCATGAGATTCATTTTCTTAGCAATTAGAGACAATGAACAGACACATTGAAAATTACCAATTATTTTCTAAATATTGATGAATATATTATTTTATATTATGGAATATTGCATCTCTATATTTGGTAATATTTCTTAAGAGATCCACAGAAATAAGCCCTTTGTCATAATATGTAATAATGTAGGGAAAATCATAATTGTCTGAGCTCAACATATTTAAAATATGGAAGAGATTATAATATAACTTACAAGTTAACAGATATTATGATAGTAAGACACAGATATATAAGGAGAAATTTGATGTAATTTCCATGAATAATTGTTTAGAAATTTTAATATACTATTTATATCCTTCTATACTATCTTTATTATATTTTATTATTTTATTATAAATTTTATGAGTGTAACAAATTTTCTTAAAACTTCTATGGATCTTAAAAATTTTCTTACAAATGCTATGAGTCAAAAGGAAAAGAAAAAACTAAGAACAAATGGGAAAAGAAAACAAATAAGGAAAAAAGAAAATATAACTTTAAAAAAAGGATAGATAAATTTTAAAACAGGAAAATTTGGACAACAAGTCTATGTAGCTTGTTACTTCTTTTTCTTCCTCAAAATTAATTTCTATGACTCAGTAATTTTAGTGATCATAAAAACTCACGGGGATATTTCTTATTCATCTGATAAATCTGTGGATCCATAGAGTATAACAAATTATGAAAAAAGTCTTTAAAACCTGAACATTTATTTTGCTGGGAAAAAAATTTTACCTTAATTCATTCTATTCTTCTATTTCTATCATAAATTGCTCTAGGTTTTTTGAAGCATTAGATATGAAACTGGATTACTTTCTTAGAGAGTTTTGATATTATGAAACTTTGAGGGAAATAGTAAAAATATAGGCAAGAAGGGAAAAAAACTCACAAGCCTATGAATCAATTTAGTGGCCTAATCTCATAGTCTAATCTTAGTAATTTTTTATATATATTTCTCAAAACTTTTAAGAATATTGTTTTCATTTATTTAAAGACTCATAACTTTAAGGATAGAAAGAAACTCTAAAAAGTGTAACTTTATCTTTCCAAGGTAAATCTAAATTAACTGTGGCCCAGGACATCTAGAGATTTCTGAAAAAGCCGGAAGGTTAAAATGCAATCACTTCCCTAGGAATTCAATGCTTAGGAGCATATTGGTCAGGAATATTATTTAACCTATAGTTTCACCCTTATTCATATATGTTTAGTAGGCTTTTAGATGATTTTTGTAGTTATTGAGGATGTTGATCCCATGTCATTAAATTTGACTTTTCAAAGGTCAAATCTAGATAACCTTGTTATAGTAGAAGGTCACAAGGACTTCTGTTTCTCTTGATTTCTAGATAAGTGACTTCCCACCAAAGTTATGATAATCTAGAAAAGTTTCTTTCTGTTCTCAGATTTTATCTACTGTTCCTCAGGGTGGGAGTTGAATGGACATCTTATCTGGTTAGCCAAGTAGAGTTTGTGTCTTTGGGGCTGATTCATTACCAGGATTAATTTACCTAAGGTTAAGTAGAATGAAAAAAGGGCTGTATCTAATCTAAAGCCTAAAGGAGACCAAGTTTCAAACTGACGAAACTAAAAAAATAAGCTGGTGAAGTTCAGAGACCATTAGACCCATGGTGCCTGGATGGACCAAGTAGACCTTTTATATTGGAAATAATCCAGTATTGTAACTCTGGGTGGACTGAACATCACTAGACTCTCTTCAGGCCTCATTTAGAGATGGTAGGGATTAAATAAAGACTGGAATGAATGCTCTGGCATTTTATTGTCTTTTTGTTTGGCCACATTAAGGCATGGTTTTTAATCAAGTAAGGAAATACACCTTCCTACTTCTCTGTGCCCATTTTTACTCCCAAAATAAAGTAATTCTGAATACTGTAGTTTATAACTAACGGCACAAGAGACAATTCCATAGGTCACTTATCTTCTGCTTACAATGGCTTCCTCCAAGAACAAAGAGCAACAAATCAAAGCAACTAATTGCTGTTACACTCAAGAAGATTTCATTATAAAATGCAACAGTATTGTTACAGTCACTTGAGTTTGCCACCGTGTACAAGTAATAGATCCTAAAAAACTGATAGGGAAGGAAGCAAACAAGGATGACTCCTATAAAAAATAGGTTTTTCAACTGGGCCCAGAACTCCTGGTGGGATAGAAAGGAGTGGCGTAGCTTCCGCATCATTGACATAATGATGAAGATCTGGAAGACCAAGAGAATCACCGCAATGGCTATGACAGTAGTGACTATCATATAGTTGATGACTTGCACATATGCTCGATCAAGTTCTTTGTGGAATTTAAAACAATGTTGCTCATCATACACCTCGTAAGTTCCATACTGAGAAACAACCACAGGTACCACAATGACAATCACCAGCAGCCACATGCCAGTACTGGCAGCCACAGCATGCAGTTTTCTATAGAATTCCACTTTGTCTTTGTACTTGAAGAAGATGAGGTACCTAATGACCAGGATCACCATGTAGAACAGGAATGTAAGGTACATGTGGATGTGTAGCATGGCACTCACAAATTTGCAGAAGGGCAACCCAAACATCCAGGTGTGCTTGATGAGATACGTCAAGCGAAAAGGCACTGTCAGCAGAAAAACACTGTGGACCACTACCAGGTTAACAACCACTGTGGTAGTTACAGATCGGGTGTTCATTTTCACCAGCAGGAACAAAATGGAGATGATGCCCACCAGCCCACCAATGAGTACTATGAAGTAGAGCGTGGTTAAATGGGGTGTCAGTATAGGACTGCAGGAAGAAGTGTTGTGGCCAGCCATACTTCAGAAGTCACCTGAAAGAGACGAAATTCCAATAAAACTGAAAAACTTTCAGAACTTTGTTCTTATCTCCTTCTTAGCACTAGCAATGTGATTTTGTCATTTGTTTATATGATACAAATTTTAAGTACCTTAAGAATAAAGACTATGTCATATGCCTATCTGTATACTCGAGACTGAAAACATAGTAAGTCATTGATTCTTAAGCTTTCATAAGTTAGAGGCCTCATCGAGAGGCTCCCAGAGATGTGTGTGTATGTGCATGCGTGTGGGTCCTCGAAATGAGCCCCAAGTAGGGCTTGCTGCTCAGCAGGGAGTCTGCTCCTGCTTCTCCCTCTACCTCCCCCTCATGCTCTCTCTTTCATGTTCACTCTCTCTCAAGTAAATATAAAATCTTTTTTTTTAAGTGTGCATAAAACTGGATTGCTGACCATCTATAGCTGATACATAGATAATAGTACTGCAGCAGCCAGTGGGGGAAAAATTATAACATGGAAGGAAAGTTAAGTGAGTGTGTTAAGTACACAAAATATTTTTCTTTGAAGTATGATTCTAATTCTCTAAGTCCTTTCAATTCATCAGCAAATGATTCGAGAATATACATAATTCATTTAGGATACTGGTTAGTTTAGCCAAAAAAAATTGATTAAGTCAAAGCAGCAACAATCAATAGGAGTATATGTGAATTTCTTGTCACAGCTATGTTATCTTCTAGCAGTGAGACTTTGGCTGAGTTCTCATGGGTTCCTCTACAAATGCAGCATATCTCCCAATTCTCCCATTCCAATACCCTCAAATGAGTAAAAGAACCACTACCATTTTTTTCTCTGGGGAAATCCTTTCCCCAAATAGTGTTGGTCCCTTTTAACTCATTATCCACATTCTAATTTATTCTCTTTTTTTTTTTTGTATATTTTTTTATTGGAGTTCGATTTGCCAACATATAGTATAACACCCAGCGCTCATCCCATCAGGTGCCCCTCTCAGTGCCTGTCACCCAGTCACCCCATCCCCCCACCCATAATTTATTCTTTATTAAATGAAAGATTTAAGAATCTTTTAGTTACACTAATCAAGTACTTACATTTTCTTATTTAAATTCCTTCAGTGGCTTCCCGTTTCCTTTAAGATTAAAAATATCCTTCTATGTCTAGAATCTTCTGGGTCATGGCAAAATCTGATTCCTTGAGACCAGATTTAAGAAATAATCTAGAGGTTAGGGTGCCTGGATGGCTCAGTCAGTTGAGCATCTGACTTTGGCTCAGGCTGTGATCTCAGGGTCCTGGGATTGAGCCCCACTTCTAGCCCCACGTGGAACCCTGAATCAGGCTCCATGCCCAGTGGGGATTCTACTTGTCCTTCTGTCCTTCCCCTCCACTCATGCTCTCTCTTTCTCAAATAAATACAATCTTAAGGGAAAAAAAAAGAATCTAGAGGTGAAAATGATAGAATTTAATGAACTGCATATGGGAGAATGAAGGGAAAGTATCTCAGTCACTCCTAGATTTCTAACTTGAACAACTGGTTAAAGATGTTTACTGACAGGACACCTGGGTGGCTCAGTGGTTGAGCATTTGCCTTTGGTGCAGGTTGTGATCTCAGGGTCCTGGGATAGAGTCCCGTATTGGGCTTCCTGAAGGGAGCCTGCTTCTCCCTCTGCCTATGTCTCTGCCTCTCTCTGTGTGTGTCTCATGAATAAATATATAAAATCTTAAAAAAACCAAAAAGATGTTTACTGACAACACGGAGCCTGAGAATCAGATTTGAGGAAGAGCAGTAGTTGAATTATAGTCTTAGTACCTTTGTAACACATTTGCAGTTAGTCTTACTCACTTCATGAATGTCTTTTTGTACAATCAAAATTACCCAGCAATAAAAGTGAACCACTGATGAATCACAAAAGCATTAAACTCACATATATGTAAATCATATATTCTCAAAAATTTGTTCTTGAGGTGTGAAAAACTTTACTTTTTATGCATAAAACACATACATAAGTACATAAATAACACAGAGTATATCTTGGTATTAAAATTTCATAAGGAGGGGATCCCTGGGTGGCTCTGTGGTTTAGCGCCGCCTGCAGCCCCGGGTGTGATCCTGGGGGCCCAAGATCGAGTCCCACATCCGGCTCCCTGCATAGAGCCTGCTTCTCCCTCTGCCTATGTCTCTGTGTCTCTCTCTCTCTCTTTCTCTCTCTCTCTCTCTCTATCATGAATAAATAAATAAAATATTTTAAAAAATAATAAAATAAAATTTCATAAGGAGAGAAGAGGCAATTAGGGAATAAATGGCTAAAAAGCTCTTTACAAGGGTAATAGTTTTAAAAGTTAAGAAAAGGGGGGGGAGTTAAGAAACACTGTATAAAATAAGAGATGCCAGCCACAAAAGGCTACATATAATTTCTTTTTCTAGAAAATTGAAATTAATGAGACAGAAGATCAGTGAAGCCCAGGGCCTATGTTTCAAGGGTATGAGAGCATTTATGGAGATGGGATGTTTTATGTCATGTTGGTTACAATTGTAGTTTTTGTCAAAGCTTATCAAATTGCACACTTAAAATTGGTGAATTTTCTTGCATATGACTCATATCTCAATAAAACTAATTTTAAAAAACAGTAATAATAACCTGACCCCAAGGAAGCTCTGCTTCTGTGAGCACGGAATAGAATTTCCATGTGACCCACTTAAAAGATTGCTTCATGTTATACCTCTTCTATGTGATGTGTAATCTCTGTTTTTGTCCTTTGTTTTTTCCTTTGAAAAGTAGTTCCGTCAAGCAAATTTGTAATTTATACTGTGTTTGTATCTGAATCAGGGGTGAATGTGCCACCACAAGTTCTATCATTTTCTTCAGCTATTGAACTAGAATCAGGACTGACTTTTGAAAGAAGAAAGTATAATCAGTCACATATCATCTCTCTCAAATCCTCTTTAATTCTTATAAACTGCCATGATCTCTCTGTAACAACCAACCCTGGTTCCCAGACATTCCAAGATATTTTGTAAAGTATTACAGAATATAAACAGACACCTTCTGCTTAAACTAGCTAAGGTGGGTTTTGTTGTCAGTAGGTAACAACCCGGACATACCTTGTTATTTCCTATTTCTCCTTCAAGAATCAACTGAGGCATCATTTCCTCCAGGAAGCCTTTCATAATCTCCACTCTCAATTCAGGTTCCCTTGCCCCATGGAATGCACCATGCTTACTTCAGTTATGGCATTTATCCCATAGACCATAATTCTCAGTTACCCTTCTGTCTTCCAAAAAAGATTAACAAGGGAAGAATCCTGTCTTCCTTTTATCCACAGAAACTAATGATTTTTTTAAATTAATGTAAATATTGTTATTAAAAGCTAAATACCCATAGTAGAGTGCTCAGCTGTAAGGATATATAGCTCAATGAATTTTAACAGAGTAAACGTAGCCTCACCAAAGGTAATCTCTATCCTGACAACTAACACCATGGAGTAGGTTTGCCAACCTTGAAGTTTATTTGAGTTTAATATCCTTGAGCTTCATTCACTCAACATTATGCTTTCAGATTCATGTGTTTGATTTTAATTAGTTCATTTTTATTGTGGTTTATTATATTGTATGAACAAACATCACAATTTATCCATTCTATTGTTTTTTAATTTTTATTTATTCATGAGAGACATAGAGCGGTAGAGAAGCAGGCTCCTCACGCAGAGCCCGATACAGGACTTGATCCCTGGACCCGGATCACGCCCTGAGCTGAAGGCAGACACTCAACCATTGAGCCACCCAGGCGTCCCTTATTCATTCTATTGTTGATGGATAATAATGTTCTTTCCAGTTATAAGGCCATTATAAGTAATGGCATTCTGAGCATTCTTATAAATATCTTTTGTAAAAATAAGTATCCGTTCTTTGGGGATTTACCTAAGTATGGATTTGATCGATCATAGGGTACATATATTTCCCTGGTTTCAAAGTCTGTATACCTGGAAATGATACAGATATCTTTCTTTATTCAGTTGATTATTTATTATAATATAAACTGTTTGCCAAAGAGTACAGCTGATCTCTTTAAGACCTGAAAGAGGGATCCCTCGATGGCCCAGCAGTTTGCTGCCTGCCTTGGCCCAGGGCATGATCCTGGGGACCTGGGATCGAGTCCCAAGACCAGCTCCCTGCATGCAGCCTGCCTCTCTCTCTCTCTGCCTCTCTGTCTGTGTCTCTGCCTCTCTCTCTCTCTCTCTGCCTCTCTCTCTCTCTCTGTGCCTCTCATGAATAAATGAATAAAATCTTAAAAAAAAAAAAAGACCTGAAAGAAAGTAAGGGGTGTAGTTTCTCTTCCATGGAGATGATCCATTAGTAATACAAGGAACCAGAAAATGTCTTTAAACAACATTTACATTTATTTGCTGATCCTGTTTAGATATCTTATCCATATATCTTCATTGTTTTACCTCTTCCTGAAATATTCTATCCTATTCAATCCCTTTTTTGTATCCTTGAGATCTAAACTTTATTTTTTTTTTTAGAAAGAGAAAGAACACACATATCTTTGTGCATGAGGAGAGAGAGCAGAGGGGCAAAGGGAGAGGGAGAGAGAGAGAGAGAATCTTAAGTAGGCTCCACACTCAGCATGGAACCAATGTGGGACTCAGTCTCACGACCCTGAGATCATGACCTGAGCCAAAATCAAGAGCCAGACACTTAACCAACTGAGCCAACCAGGCACCCTGATTATTTTTTAATAATCACCACAAGTTGATAATTGAATGGGTGAAATAATGATGAAAAAAATGTCTTAACTTTATTAAACATATTCTTGACCAGACCCCATTTGGATCTAGTCTAGTAACTGATGTCAAGACCCCAGAAATAAACTATCTATAGTTTATCCAGAGCACTCTTCTAAGGGAGCAGGACTGTCTCCCTGTTTCTACACAAACTACCTTGCCTTGCAGGGATCTCTTCCTTATCTGTGATTGACTCCTGAAGCTTAACAAGAAGCATGGCCTCAAATTCAGTTTCCCTC